TGTAAACAATAAATGTCATTTTTCTTTATAAATCACCCAGTTTCAGGTATTTTGTTATAAGTACAGGAACGGACTAATATAAGTTGTTTTACAGAAAGCCTTCGAGAACTCTTTTTTTAAAAAAATCAGTATTAGGGCCGACCCGTGGCTCACTCGGGAGAGTGTGGTGCTGATAACACCAAGGCCATGGGTTTGGATCCTATATAGGGATGGCCGGTTGGCTCACTGCCTGAGCGTGGTGCTTATAATACGAAGCCAAGGGTTGAGATCCCTTTACCGGGCATCTTTTGGGGGGAAAAAAAATCAGTATTGCTGAAAACAGTTCTGTCTTTATATTACAGTCCTTGCTTCATGGTGTCAGAGACCTCCTTTTTTTCCCCTGTCTTTTAGAAGAGTATTGTTTCCATCCTTTTCATGCTACTATAACGGAGTACCACAGAGTTGGTCATTTTTAACAAATAGAAATTTATTGGCTTATGGTTCTGGAGGTCGGAAAGTCTAGGATTGAGGGGCCAGTGTCTGGCAAGAGCCTCCTTGTTACATCACGCTGATGGTGGAAGGTGGAAGGGCAAAAGGGGGAGTGGGGGTGCTCAGAAGGTTATTTTATTTTTAGGTGGTGATGTTTTAAATTCTAATCTTAAGAAGACATGCTGTTGATTCTTAGGTCAAATTATATACATATAGATGATGTATTTTGATCTGGTATGAGAGGACAGGAATTTCGATGTCAAACACAGAAGAGCTATAAGGAGGAACGCTCTTTGAGCACCGTGTAATGCTATCTGACTACAAGCAGTATCCGGATTTTCACTGAAGTTGCAGTATGTAGGTAGTTATGAAAGCAATTTTAAGGCAAAATTTTGTTTACACTGCAGATACACTTTACCAGCCCCCTCACTTCCTGTAGATAACCTAAATATAAAAGCATTTTAAAATTTTTCTTTATTTTTGTTTTGTAAAGACGGCTAGTGTATCAAGCTTCCTGCTTGGCACCGTATTGAGTCCCAGACATGACGAAGTACTGTGAATGACTCTTTTTTTAAAAGGATTGATTAATGTGTAATACATGTTCTTTCTTTCTTTTTCTAGCCAAGGACCCTTGTCATCCATTAGAGCGGTAATCAAGAGATGTAAGTTCGTTATTTCCTGCTCTGTATTTTCCTCTGTAATAATTTCAAATGATGATTTAGATTTCCAGCAAGGGATTGTATTTGATGAACTCACAAAGAACAC